CAGCTTTCCACAACGTATCCAGAGAGCTTTCTAAAATGCTCATCTGATCATGTTTTCTGCTTAAAATTCCTCAATAGCTCCCCATATCCTCTGGATAAAGTCCTATCTTTTAAGTGATTTTTACAGTTTTTTTTTTAAGATTTATTTTATTATTTATTTATTTTATTTATTTTTGGCTGCATTGGGTCTTAGTTGCAGCACGTGGGCTCTTCGTTGTGGTGCACAGGCTTCTCTCCAATTGTGGCGTGGGGGTTTTCTCTCTGTAGTTGTGGCGTGCGGGCTCCAGAGCGCGTGGGCTCTGTAGTTGGAGGCACATAAGCTCTCTAGTTGAGGCGCGTGAGCTCAGTAGTTGTGGTGTGCAGGCTTAGTTGCTCCGCAGCATGTGGAATCTTAGTTCCCTAACCAGGGATCAAACCCGCGTCCCCTGCATTGTAAGGCGGATTCTTTACCACTGGACCACCAGGGAAGTCCCTTACATAGTTTTCTTAATCCAGTTCAATTTTACCATTAGATTATATTGTAGGTCACTGAATTTTTATATTCTCTTTTGCCTCCACCAGGCAGATGGTATGTGCTGCTCCATCTGCCTGAAACACTTTCCATGCCCACATCCTCTTTTCTTTAGCATATCCCGTTTTAATTCCTATTTATTTCACCCTTCAGAAAACTCCCTGTAATTCTCCCAAAAGGTTAGTTGCGTTTCCTTGTTTTCCCCTGGCATCCTGTACTTGCCACATCATAGCATTTATCATAATGTAACACCATGTAATTGCCTGTCAAATTCTGTTTTTTCTCTCTAGGCTGTAAGGTCCTTGAGTGCAGGAACTACATCTTGTCCATCATTGTATTTCCAGGTTCTAGCACAGCTCCCAGACACATAGTAAACATATTAAGTGTTTGAAAAATACTTGTTGAAAGAATGTTTGTCATTCTTTCCATTATTCTTGCATACTTCTAATAGAAATCAAGATGAGGATTTCAAGCCAATTTTATATTGAAGATAAAAGTTTGATTCTTTAAAAGCACTTATCACAATCTGTAATAACTTGTTTACTTGCTGGTTTCTTAAGGGTGAGGGCTGTACCTGTCTTGTACATTATTGCATTCTGGAACATAGCAGGTATTTGATTTCAGCATCTCTATTAGATTATTTCTCTTAGCATATGAAATTCTCTAATATCTTCCATCTCAAAAAAAAAAAAAAAGAGGAGGACAATTTTCCCTCCTCCCGTCTCCTCTCAATCCTCATTTTTCTGCTCCTTATCTCAGCAAAACGGCGTAGTTGTCTATACTTGCTTTACCACTCCCTCCCTACTCTTTCTTTTTTAGTCCACTCCATTCAGGCTTTTGCTCACCCTTCCATTGAAAGAAACTGTTCTTGTCAAGATGTCCATGTTGACAAATCTAATGGACACTTAAATTTTCAGTAACATTCAACACAGTTGACCCATTCGTCCGTTTTGGGTTATTTTCTTCTCTTGTCTTGCTACTACTGCTCATGCTCATCCTTCTTTCCTGGATCCTTCTCTTCAAGACTTGTAAGTGTTGCCTTCTTTGAATATTAGTGCTGGACTCTCTTCTCTATTATACATTCTTTCATTTAAAAATTAAAAAAAATTATTTTTGGCTGCATTGGGTCTTCGTTGCTGTGCGCGGGCTTTCTCTAGTTGCGGTGAACGGGGGCTACTTTTCGTTGTGGTGCATGGGCTTCTCATTGCAGTGGCTTCTCTTGCTGCAGAGCATGGGCTCTAGGCACACGGGCTTCAGTAGTTGTGGCACATGGGCTCAGTAGTTGTGGCTTGCGGGCTCTAGAGTGCAGGCTCAGTAGTTGTGGCACACGGGCTTAGTTGCTCTGCGGCATGTGGGATCTTCCCGGACCAGGGCTCGAACCCATGTCCTTTGCAGTGGCAGGCGGATTCTTAACCACTACACCACCAGGGAAGTCCCATACACATTCTTTCTAGGTAAACTCACTCATTCTATTATTTTAAATTCTGTGTATTAGCTGATGCCTACTGAATTTCTCTTCAATCCTGGATTCTCCTCATATATTCTCAGAATCTCCACATGGATATCTAATAGCCAATTCAAACTTAATATATCCAAACTTAATATGCTTGATTTTCCTCTTCAAACCTGTACTTTCCCTGGTCTTTCCATCAGGAAATGACTTCCATTTGGTTGCCCAAGGCAAAAACGTAGGAGTCAATCCTTAGTTTTCCTTTCTTTCACTCCTACTACAAATCGTGTTAGTTCTATCTTCAAAATAGTTAGCCAACATCAGCTCTTGCCTAAAATACATGGTAGACTCCTATATGGTTTCTCTCCTTCCATTCTTATTCTTTTATAATCCCTTCTCCACAGAGCAACCGATCTTCTAAAATCATAAATTCTATCACGTCCCTCTCCTGTTTTAAACTCCTACAATAGTTCCCATCACAATGTAACCTCCTTCGCATGATTTACAAGGTTCTACATAATCTGGCTCCTTGTACCTTTCTAGCCACATCTCAAACATCTTCCCCCTCCCACAGTGTGTTCAGCTGTTTTGGCCTCCTTTTTCTTCTTCAAACAGGAGAAAACCATTCCTGCCTCAGTCTTTGTACTTTTTCTTCTCTCTGCTACAATGTTCTTTACCATCATCTTCCCGTCACGGGTTCCTTTTCATTCTTTAGACCTCAGTTCAAATACCGCATCTTTGGAGAGGATATTCCTGACCACTCTATCTAAATTTGGCCCCACCAGTTGTACTATTAACTCTTTTTTTCCTAGCTTTTAGGACTACTTGCAAACATCTTGTTTACTTTGCCTCTTCCCACTAAGAACTAAGTTTCTGAGAGTAGGAATAGACTACCAGAACAGAGTCTGAGACCTTTGAGGGACTCAAGAAATATTTGTTGAATAAATGATTGTTTGTTTTCTGTTGCCTCAAACCACTGCCATTCCCTTATTATATAGCGGTAAATCATTGGTTGGCTTAAGAGTTTTTAAAACTGAGGTACCGTCATGAGTCCATCTAAGTGCCATTCAGGAAGTTTTACTTTATCATCTTGATTCTGACTATCTTGTTCTGAGATGTTATCAATGAAAATTTAACTTGTTTCAGGAAAATTTAGCACAACTGAGGTTGTGCTTACTAGCATGGTGGTTAAGGGAGCAAGATTCCAGTTTTATTGCCACCTTTTGCTATATCTGATAACTGGAAAATGGCTGTAGTGAGAAGTGCCCCTGTCTTCTATGTTACTGGAATCAGTTGGACAGAGCCCCAAAGGCTGTTGGGGTTTGTGGGGAGGCTAAATCTTCTACTCCTGAGTGAAAGTGTAGGCCTTATGTCTAATTTTCTAACCCAACAGTTCCACATTCATATAACATTAATGAATAATTATTTTCTTTCTTACATTTCCTCCTTGCTCCTAAACTTAAAGAGGCTACTTTAAGACACCTCAGCTTCTCTGTGGGAAGAGGTAGCGTTAAGTAAAAGGGGAAAAAAAGATAATATACAGTTATTGAAGTTGAAAATATTTTCATTTTAATCTGCATAATTATGTATATGTCCTCTTTTATGACAAACTTGTATCATTTCAGTGCTCTCTGAGTCTATAATTTGAGTATTACACAACAACATAAAGGAAATGTGATGAATGATAGTAAGTAAATTTTGTTTTTTTCTGTACCTTTCAAGTATAAGACCACAGAAATGAAACCTTTACATGATTAGAGAACACTAATACAAAGTATCTCTTATGCAAGTCCTAATGTTCTTTCCCTTACTATTAATATCTGTAATTATCCATGAAGTGACTTTTTGCCAAGATGAAAGCACACAAGATTATTGTATTTAGAAACTTCATTCTGAGGGGAACTGGAACTACTCTGTGCCAGCCACGGAGCGGCCATGATTCCTCCTTGTGTCTTTGGTCAAATATAGGCAGGCTTGAGCCCGTTTCCACTTGCACTCATTTAGTGATACTTGCTAGTGTCAAAACAAAACTTCCCCAAATGATCGCTTCATTAATTGACTTATAGGATGCGCGTTTTCTCACTTTAAAAAATTTCAGACTTCACTTTTTGTTTACAAAATTCCATTCCGCGTTCATATTTTGTGAGAGAAATATACATAGCTATTTTGCCTCATTAGAAATCTTTCAGCGTTTGGTGCCAGAGAATTATCTTAAGTTTATAGGGGATACAGTCTTGCTATTTTGACCTTGTATTGCTCAGTAATTCTGGAGCTTGGGCAATGTACGGAGCAACTCTGAATGACTCTTAACCTGAGCACCTCAAATGTCACCTCCTCAGAGAGACCTCCCCCACTCACTTCATTGTTTCTCATTCACAACACTGGCAATTTCAAATTACCTTTTTTACTTATTTACTGTTTCCTCATATAGAAAGTTAGCCCTATCTTTTTAATTTTGGATCCCCAGTGCCTAGACCAGGGACACTTAGACATTGTGGAAGGAATAAATTAATTTCTTAATCACCTATAAATAGTGCTTTAAAAATTCTTGTAACATTGAAACTGAACAACACGTTGTTACATGACCACTGAAATTCTCCAAGATATATACTCTGGCTATTACTTTTCTTGTTTCTATATAAGACCACTTATAGCATAAACTCTAGCTGCAAATCAGTGGGAGCTGGCAGCCACTTAGAGACAATTTGATTTGTATGCCTTATTAAGTGAAATTCTCAAAAAAGTATTTTAATCTAACCTTCCAAACCACATACCAGTAATTTCCAGACATTCATATCTGTCAGAGAATTGCGTCCCATGGTACAAAATTCCTCCTGCTGGAGGGGCAGTAGGGGAATGAGTAGGGGAACTGAAGATCTGTAAGACCAATTTGATCCAAACCCTGATAAATTTTGGTTCCCTGGGTTTAAGTAGACTGTACGGTCATTAATGAGCAATGTTTTTCTTTGGAAAGGGTTTTCCGCCTATTAAACTCATTTGTTCACAGTTTCACAGTTCCTCTCTCTCTCTCCATACCCAGACATTGAGTGTAAATCCTGAGCCTCCTATGGCTAGCTCTTCCAAGGGGCTAATTTCCGGTGTGTCAGGGTTCGAGGCGCAAGTGATAAACACCGAGGGCCGCTGCCCTCAGTGCCTGGCCGAGGCCGTCTCTGCCGGGAGGCATGGCTGCGGGGAGCGTCTTGGCAGATCCTCCACCAGACCCGTGAGCCAGCGCCGCTCAGTCAAGCTCTGAGCCCAAATCTCTCGCGGCCCAGCGTGGGCGGGCCTGTGGTCCCGGGCTTAAAGTCCAGCATGTGCCGCGGCCCCACGGGTACCCTCGCGCACCTGGTCTGCTCCGGGGGCCGCCGAACTCCGCCAGGCGCGGACGGAGGCGCGAAGCCGCAGAGACTGAGGGGAGGACGACGGGGGAGGGGCGACTGCCAGTGGGGCCCTGAACTTCTTTGTCGTGGGTGCGGGAAGCGGAAGGTTTCTACACTCCAAAGTCCCTGGCGTCGTCCCCGCGGCACCCTGCTGTAGACTCAGGTAGCAACTAACAGCGTCACGGAGAAGGACCGGGACCGGTGCATGTTCCTTCTTCACATCCCCAGCCACCCCAGTTTCCCGCCCCTCCCCTCCGCGCATGCCCCGCCCCGTGAGCTGCCACGTGAGGACATCCACTGGCCAGCCTATGGGCGACAGCTCCGCCCCACGGCCCCGCCTTGCACCCTGCTCCGCGCGCCACCACGTGATGCGGCTCACCGCCAGCCAATGGACGCCGGCCTTGCCTCGCGCCCCGCCCCGCGCGCCGTGGCCGTTTGAAGTGACTAATTTCTGTCATATGACTGAGGCGCCTATGGGGGTGGCGGGGCAGCTCTAAGAGCGGGGGCCTGGCGAGTGCCCTGTGAAGCGACCCCGGCCTGGCCGTGGCCATCATGGCCCCTACGCTGTTCCAGAAGCTCTTCAGCAAGAGGAGCGGTCTGGGCGCGCCCGGTCGGGACGCGAGGGACCCGGATTGCGCGTTCAGGTAGGTCGCTGCAGGGCGAGGGGCGAGCGGCGAGGGGCGCGGAGCCGATGGCCTAGTGGGCTTTGGCTTCCAGAGGCGCTGGGGCTTTCGGTGTTTACGCTTGAGCGGCAGCTTCGCCCCGGGACCGGGATCAGGGCCGCGGTCGGGAGGGGCCGGGCAGCTGTAGACCTGCGCTGGAGGGTTCGAGCGAGGTCCTGTCTCGCCTACCCCCCTCTCCCACGGTTGCCCCTTCCCCCTCGTCCGGGGCTGTTTGTTTACGTCCTGCTCGGCAGCCACGCGCTACTCTGCCCCTCCGGACCCAGCATCGCGGCCTGAGCTTAGGGTCCACACGCCTTCCTGGCGACGCGTAGAGTTGGGCGCGGGCTGGATTGGACCTCTACCGCCGTCCTCCGGGCCGAAAAGTTCTCCCCTCCTCCCCGCGGCCAGTCGTCCTCTGGGTGCTCCGTTCCAGCTTGGTTGCTCTTGTGGAGAGAGCCGCACGTTTTGGCCAACCTTCGGAGTAGAGAACGCCGGAGGAGCGTGTAGGCAAGCTGCTGTTATTTCAGATTTGTAAACCTAAATTGGAGGTGTGCAGATACCGGACCCAGTGGCCTTAATGTTGCCGAAGGAGAAATGTGAAACCTAAGAGTTTGTGGTTTTTACTGACCAGAATGAAGCTGCGCTGAATCAAATGAAGAAAGCCGTAGAATTGACCATCCCCTTGGAACTGTTACTAAAAACGAGTTTTTAAAAATTGAGAACGGTAGCAACATATTTTGTGGTATTACAGGCTTTGTTAATTTTTGGTTACAGTACCTGTTGCTGATAGAAAAACTTTTTAAAATTGTAAGACAATAGAATATAAACCTGAATTCTAGGTAAAATTTAGTTTCGAAACTTCATTTGAAGAAGAGATTATGTCTTTCAAACAGCCTTCATACTTGTTGCCGTGTGGAAACTTGTAAATGTAACTAGGCTAAATGTCAAATATCACTCAAACCTGGTAGTATAGCATAGAGCCCAGTTGTACAGTAGTAGTAGGAAGAGATGAGTATCTGTTAAATTTTGCAGTAGCCAGAGTCTGAAATGAGTGTACCACACTGGTTGAAAAGGTTTTGATAATCTTAAAATTATCCACTCTCTCTTGCTAATGCAGGTCCCATTACTAAACATTCAGTAACTTGTGGAATTGAAGTATTAAATGGAAAGAAATTTGACTTTTAGAGGAAGAAAAATCTCAGTGGTGAACATCTTGGAACAGTACTTAGTAAAAGTTATCTAGCTTTTGGTCTTTTCTACTGGGAAATAAATGCCTTGCCATGCTTATCTAATGACTTTAAAGATTTCTTTAGTGTTTTTCTTTTGAAAAATGAAAGTGCAGTATAGATAGTACTACATTGAGCCATATAGTAAATCAAGGGTTAGTAGAAAGCAAGTTCAGGAGGGATATTAAAAAGGTGACATTTGAATAGGTTTTCTATTTCTGGGTAAAGATTTACTTTGGGGTACCCAAGTTTCCAAGCATCTCAAGTTATTCTTGGGAAAAAAAGTTTATTTTTTTAAAATGTAAACTCTACTATATGTTTGTGTAGTACTACTTTAGAGTTGCCAAAGCACTTTCTCATCAGTTATCTCATGTGATGTTTCACAACAACCTTGTGAGATAGGGCAAGTAGCAGTATAGATAACTACATGATCCTTTTTATGTGTAAGAATTATGTGTAAGCACAAAAACTGCAGTACAATATGGAAAAATGCGTAGAAGTGTACATGTGAGGAAATGAAAACTGGGTAATGTCACACACTTAGTAACTTGCAAATTTAATCAACCCAATCTTTTTTTTTAACACCTTCATTGAGCTATAATTTACATACAATGAAATCGAGCCATTTGAAGTCTATAGTTATATGAATTTTGTTACATGTATACAGTCGTGTACCCACCGCCCCAATGAAGTTTTAGAACACTCCATCATCCAAAAAATTCCCTCATGCCCCTTTGCTATCATTTCTTAATGCCTTCTCACCCAGGGCAATCACTGACTTGCTTTTGTCTAATGACAGAGGTTTTGACTTTTCTGGAATTTCATATAAATGTAATCATACTGTTTATAGTCTTTTGTGTCTGGCTATTTTAACTCAGAGTGATGATTTTGAGATTCATCCATGTTGTTGCATTTATCTGTAGTTCGTTCCATTTTTTGCTGAATAGTGTTCCATTGTATGGGTATACCACGGTTTATCCATTCACTGGTTGGCAGACTTTTGGGTTGTTTTCAGATTTGGGCTGTAATAACAATGCTGCTGTGAACATTTGTGAACAAATCTTTATGCGGAAATACATTTTCATTTCTCTTGGAGTGGGATTGCTGGGTCATATGCTAAGTGTATGCTTAACTTTTCAAAAAAATTGCCAAACTTTTCTAAAGTAGTTGTACCATTTGTATTCCAACTAGTAGTGTATGAGGTTACAGTTGCTCCAGATTCTCTCCAAATCCAGATATTGTTAGTCTGATTTTTTAAATTAAAAAAATTTTTTGTATTGTAAAAAACACCTAACATAAAATATACTATGTTAACCATATTGGAGTCTCTTTAAAAATTTATTTTTATTATTTATTTATTTATTTAAAAAATTTAAAATTGAAGTATAGTTGACTTACAATGTTGTGTTAGTTTCAGGTATACAGCAAAGTGAATCTGTTATACATATATTAATACACATATCCACTCTTTTTTAGATTCTTTTCCCATACTAATGGGTATAGTGGTATCTTGTGTGGTTTTAATTTGCATTTTCCAAATAATAAACGGTGTTTCGCATCTTTTTATGTAACTCATGTTTTTGAGTAGACTAAAATTTAGTTTTTATTCCAGTATACCATGGTTTTCATTCTAGAATACTTTTTTGGTTTTGTTTGTTTTAGTCAGTGTAAGTTGTTAAATAAGGCTTGGACACAGCCATTGGCAACTAACTATAGCTCAGCCTGTGAGAGTCAGTTCCTAGAGTAAACAATATACGAGGCCCAATAGTCATAAGCCATAATAGGGCTCTTGGGTAGGAAAGACCTGAAATAGAGAAGTCTTAGGAGCTTTTCAGTATTGTTTTTCATGGTTACTCCACTGAAAAAGATGGTCAGGGATTACCCCCTTCCATTCAGTCTGAACTCCCTTACCTTATAGGTTTCTGGTGTTTTGTCCTATCTAAGGTTCTTGAGCTGGAGGTAAGTGTGTAGGGTATCACAGGGAGAATATTATTTTAATCATATATAGAACTAAAACAGTAATTTGTTTTAATCTTTTAAAGAATTTGGGAAAGACAGGGAAGATACTGCTTTATGTTTTCTCCATCAGGCCACTTTCCAGGGGAAGTAAGATTTAAGTGTAAGTCTAATAACTGCAGTACATATAAAATGATTGCTTTAAAAATAAAATTCTCTTCATCTAAAAATGATGTTAATAATGGCAACTGTGCAGGGTTGTCATGAGGTATATTAGTGAAGGTAACACTAAACTGCGTTGTGTTAATAAATAAGCTAAGTCTCAAAAAAAAGTTGAAAGAAGCCTAATTTGACGAAGAAGATTGTTTTAGAGTTATATATCTGTAGGACATAATTCATGTTTTGTTCAAAAAACAGTTTCTGTATTTTTATTTTATTACTAATACATGAACGTTTGCTCTTTTTGTCTGTATCAGTTAACAACCTCTTAACTGGTCTTTCTGTCATCACTCTTGCCTTTCTCCAAACTATTCTCAACACTTCATCCTTTAAAAAAATGCTAATTCTGATCATGGTCAGCAGGAAAAATGGTATAGAATTTAAAATCTCCACAACACAGAGGTATTTTAAGGATTCAAAGAGATAAATCATGTTGAGCAGTTAATGCAGTGCTTTAGTGCGTGGCTTTCACAACCAGAAGTTGTTTTTGCTGTGATGATCTCATGCTTATGTATAAAACCATTCAGTTTAGGACCAAACTCCTTAACATAGCCTGTGGTGGTGTAGCTTCTGTGAAGTCTCTAGTCTTGACCTTTTAATTTTTTTTAATAAGGTCATTTTTTAACATAGCCATTAATCTACTATTATCCCTTATATTATCTATTAATATTATATATCTAGGGACTTCCCTGGTGGCGCAGTGGTTAAGAATCCGCCTGCCAATGCAGGGGACACGGGTTCGATCCCTGGTCCGGGAAGATCCCACGTGCCGCGGAGCAACTAAGCCCGTGTGCCACAACTACTGAGCCT